GGAGGAGTCGGAGATTTCTCTTCGGACCCAGTGGAGCGATGAACGATTGATTGAAACCCGCATTGACCCCGCAGTGTGCGAACGTTGGAGCAGCTCATCTCAGGTTCCATGCTCAGCTTTCTGGCTTTAAGGGGTGGACCACTGTAGAACGAAGGTGGAAGGTGTAGAAACCGTCCGTCTCGAATACGAACCACCAACACCAAGCGCAACGTTGGCATCTCCGGCCTGGACGCACAGCGGCCCAACTGCCCCTCCACCCAACATGGTCTTAAACCCGCTACCGCTATTCCACCAATTCCGCTACCGCCGATGGGTTTTGATCCTCGAAATCGTTTCCATCGACACGTCGCGCGCAATCCGTGGCACTGGCATATTCACCATTGACCCCTTTTCAACCCCAACTGATCGGTCATGCCAGTCCCATGGATAGTCTGGGGTGTGGCCCAGTGGCATGGTGCCACCACATCCTGAGTGTTTCGCGACTGGCCTCCGCGACTGGCAACTATCTAGATTGCAGTCCTGGTGGATTGCAGGAACCAGGTATTCTAGGTCTATGGTTTTAGTCTTTGGAACCACTGGTTACCAGCTATAGTGGTAACTATATTATATAGATGCCCTGGGAAATGGTTTCTCCACCAATTCAACAATTGCTTCCCTCAAATCCAGGTAGCTTGGGGATGACTGGAATCCTTGGTGACCAGTGCAAGAGGGAAACGAAGACCTACGGACCTCCGCACATGTGCCAGTTGCGCGCAGCGCTAGTGCTGTGTCTGCAGTCGCATGCCTCTAGCTTGGCTCCATTTTGTGGCTCATGGAATGAATGGATTGAAAGGAACCTATCTTCGTGGCTCATTCCGTATACTAAGCACCGGTCAGTTTTGTGGAGCGTGTGACCAATATAAGTATCCACACGTATTGTAGGTCGATGCAGCTCGATCACACGCGTTGCTGGGAGAAGTCAGGGGCCTCCCGATCCGCCCAAATCACTGCATTCTTCAAGAGTTTGAGACCAGGATCTGAGGCAAGAAAAGCACATCCTGAGCTGGCAGAACTCAGGAAGCAAAGAAAGATCTGGTCTAAACTTGAAATTGCATACCCGCCCCCACCCCGAATTGCATGTTTAACAGGGTGGCCGCCACCTAAAAATACACACTCTTAAAACCTTCACCACCAGCTCTTGAGTCTGGGTTCTTCCCTTCAAGCATCCAAATCGGTACCAGGACCCAACTATCTTCTGCAAAAACGCTGATCCAGGATCTTTGGTTCTCTTGCCTTCAGCTTGGAATCCTTGCTGGTCTCCTTAGGAGCCCTTCAAATACTCTCGGACCCGCAGGTGGGGTATGCGTCCCTCAAGCTCATTTGCTGCTTCCCAATGCCCCACCGAAAAAGGATTCGCAGGTAGCACCAAACTCAAATATCTACGACGAAATGGAACTGTCTACGAGTCAGAAAGGGGGGTCTTGTAGTCCTCAAGTCAGTGGATGAGGGGCACCGACTACCTCACCTAACCTCTCCTTCCTCCGTTCGGAACCGGCACCCCAAGCGACATGTGACTCCTGGTCGGTATCTTTTGGTGATGACAGTGACACGAGCTGGCTTTTGTTGGTATCTTGGGCATGTGCACTTCTCATATGGTGGGGTCATGCTGGCATGGCTGGGCAGGATGTGACAGGATTGTATTCCTGGCCTTCCAAGGGGTGTCTAATGGAGATCGCTAAGTAGTGGGCTGGGGCTTCCGGCCAGGTGACCCCTTTGAAGGTGTTGGTTGACCAATCCGATCAAATCCGTCGAAATCCCTGTACTCCTGCTGCATATTAGCCCGCCAGAACGGCACCAGGACCTCAATTGCCGCAGAGTCACTCCTGCCTCCACGATTGCTTCGATGCCTCTGCGAGGTAGATGCAAATGACACACCAAATCTTGACCAGCAAAGCACCATCATGGAAGTTTCGCCGCATCCCAGGTTAAACAACAAATCTGCCGGAAGTCCTGCCTCCTCCAGGTACTGGAGAAAGCCATCTGTTCCAACATGTCGAATCCATTCATCCAACCCCTCGCAGTTGGCATCCCTGCGCCGTCGATCGACCCTCCGGCCCCGGGCGCCTTGTCCAAAGGCCGCAGAGCACTCGCCACGCCGGTCCTCCCGATCGAGGTCCAGCCGTGCACAGCGATCGCGTGGATGGGTCACGGGGAAAGGCTGCAAGCTGCTGGCACCCAGCAATGGAGGAAAGAGGATGAACCTCGAGGCGGACAAGGACAGGCCGGTGTTGGCTGGGGGTAGGTTGTTGGTAGGAAATGAATTAGGTCGGTCATTCTTCAATGTCAGGTGTCAGGGCCCATGATTTACTTGGAAGATGGTGGACCAAGGATGCTCGCTTTTGAAGAGGTGCCGGGCTGCTGCGACACTCTTCTTGGTAGCCGGAAACTCGGATTTCACCTGCAGGGCTCCATGGTAACCAATGGTAATATGGAGCCAAGACCTCCAGGACTCGCAAAGGATTGCACGGTTCGTCAGCCTCTGTGATGATTCCAGACTGGGAATTCATACTCAGGGTTTGGGTCTATCCTATTACCTGCAACAGTGGATGATGATGGTCAGGTTGCAGACCTTGCTCAAAGATGATGATCATTGATTACTGACTGTTACAGGTAAGAACGGACAAACCCTGAGTTGCGTAGGGTCCCCATACTGAGGGGTGTCCAATCATACTGTCCGCCACCTTTTTGGAGGTTCAGAAGTATCCATTCACCACCCCTTTTGGGGCTCCCCACCGGCCAACCCTAAGGGGCCCTGACTTGTACATGCTAGCTTATGCTAGCTTAGTACTCGAGAGTTCGGTCCAACCTGTTCAACAGCATAGCGGTCCAACCCGACCGTTCCACCGGCGGCGTGAACCCACTGGGAACATACTGCTCTCCGCAATGGCGGAAGGTGATTTGGATCTCCCTCAAGACATCTCAATACGGATCAAATTCCGGTGGATCTGAATGTAATGCACATCGAGAGAGAGAGAGAGAGACCTATAGGAGTAGAATGAGACCTCCGAAATCCGCCATGCCAAAGGTCCTTTTTGGACTCTTTGAAGCGAAGAGTTCGACTTCACCCAACCTCAGGGACCTCAAACACCTCGAGCGGAACAGCAACGAATGCCGCGAAAAAAACGCCGCTCTCTCGAGCGCTCAACGCCTCGCCCGGCCTCTTCGCGCCAGTCACTTGGAGGAAGAGGTTCGGACTCTGATCCTCAACGAACGTCGGGTCGTTTTTGTTTTTTTTTCTCGACGTGCAGCTGGTGGAAGCAGGATGTTGGGGGGGGATGTTGGTGGGGAAGATGTGGAAAACACTTGCAATCCTCTTCTCTCTCCTGCAATCTGCTAGCTCTTTCCAACTGAAGCAGTGGTTGGATGACCATTTCCCTACTTTTGGGTGATGAGAAAGGGTTTTTGGCCGTGAGCCGACCCGCTCCGAACGATTCGGAGCCACAGGGCTGTTGGGTAGCCTTGGTTTCGAAAAAAAGAACAGGTCAGTCAAGGAAAACAAATGGGTAGTAGGGAAAGAGTCATTGTTTCAGTCCAAACTTTCCAAGTTAGATCCACAGTCTGTAGGTGCATTAGGTAGGCCACAAGATGCGTTTCTCACAGAAAGGGCGCCTAGACTGGAAAACCATGGTAAGACGTTATCTTACTAAGGTGTTGAGTTGGACAATCCTGGATGCTTCACAGGTTTCGCATCCACTGGTCGTTGCGCTTCTTGAAGCTCAATCTCAAACTCATTACAACCCTGACCCCCCTTGAATCCTAAACTTGGAGGCCTGGGACCATGCGGGCGGTCATTGTTCACAACGGTAAGCCTTTTATGATGAATGTAAAGGGGTGTCATAATTGACCGTCCCACACCTGCAACGAACATTGGACTTGTTAGTTCGATCTGCAACTGACCCTACAGCGGCTACAGCGTTTTGTGAACATGGTTAACGAGCACAAACTTTTGTCTGCCTGAAGTTCGATCAACAACCAAACCCAGATGCTCCCCAAATTCCCCGAAACCCTGATGAAAACCAATCCAATCTTCTTCAGCCCCCAATCCTTTGGCACCTCACGCGGGTTTTCGCATTTTTCGGAGGCGAAGCAGGGTGACAAGGCCTAGGCTCGTAGTGGCAGGCCGTGACAATGCCTTTGGCGCCGCAGAAAAGCCTTGGATGTGAAGAAAGGTGTCAGCGATAAAGAACAACTTTGGGTTCCCAATCAGTGTGAGATGTAGTCAGTCAGTGGTCCCCCAATGGCCCAAATAGATAGAAGCACTGCTGCTAAATATTACAGAACCCATGTTTTTTCCAAGTTTAGGGAACCTATTTTCCATGTAATACATTTATAGGTCTCTGATAGGTCTTTGCAATTCTGTCTTCCACAAGTGTCGGTCAATTGTTTGGCAATTCTTATAACCAATTCAATCATCAAAAACCGTCCCTGCAGATTCGCCAAACTGATGTTGAACTCAACCTAACTCAACCATCTGTTAGACTGGCCGACTGGTTAACACAACTGGCCCAAACGAAAAAGTCAAACTTGCCCAAAGCCCAAAACAGGGATGATCTAGGCGTGCGTCAAGATGTGGATGACCTAGTCACAGTCAAGTCTAAGCAGCATCCTACACCTTGATCCATCAGAATCCTTGCTCTCCATGGCAGTCGGACCCTCTCCACCTAAACGCAGGAGTCTTTTTTCCTCGTGCCCTTTACAGGCCCATTGGGCTCAGATTCTTAAAGGTTCAATGCCGGAAAATTGCGGGCTGACCCACTCCTAGGTCCGTTCGACCCATACCAAAGGCCGTGACGAAAGGCTTGAGTTCTTCATCCAAGTTCTCAAGAAGCTCTTCATCTTACCCCGCTAGCAACTCGTCAGCGACCTTCTTATAAGGGGATGACTTCGAATTTCTTTCCGCGTAAAAAGCTCGCGTCCGAACCAAACGCGGCTCCTCCTTCGTCCTGGGAGCTGAAGCTTCTTCAAGGTTCCCAGCTCCTCCGAAAGCTGCCTGCCACGCGGCGTCTCGTCCGAGCGACGAAGAGCTCTGGGCGGCGCGTGTGGCAACACCACGCAACAAGAAGGTGCGCAGCTTTGCGCCAAGCGACGCGATCCGCATGCTTCATTTAGAGACGTGTACAGAAATATACATCTGCGCACCCATCTACAGAACAATTTTAGGTGGGACCCACATCTTAATACATATAAATAGAGAAAAAACACACAAAGCTGATGTTTGTGGCAATTATGCCCAACTGCTGTAATCAGTCAGGACACTCCCATCTAGCTATTCTAGGCTTCATTTCACTCCAGTCGTCTTGTCAATGGTGATATATGGTGATCCCATCTTTCGCATGGCGCGGCCTGATGGTCTCCCAGCGCATGGCGTCCAGGTCAGCTCGAAGCCTGGACGTGCTGCGCTGAAAGGACAAATAGGTCCACCTCAACATGTTCCAGGCCACGCCCCTCCCCGGGCCGATCCGCTTTGGACTCTGAACCACTCCGTCACCTACGCCTCAAGCCTCACGCCAACCGCCCGCCCGCCTCGTGCCCAAGGATCCTTCCTGGCACCGCCGGTGGCGGGGTCCAGCGGGTCGGGGCTTGGTTTGGAGGGACAAACCCATGGTGAGGGGGAGATGCTGCTTATAAGTGCTTCAATACAGTACAAGACATATAACATCACTAACATCACTCTATCAACGAGCAAGTGGTGAAGTAGAACTCGTTGTAACACTGCAACTGTAGCACGAAGCAGCACCCTTTTGAAGGGAACATGTGGGATGCTCCTTCAACAGTCGCCCTGCGGTGCAGCTTTGGCTGCCATTTCTCCATCTCTTTATGGGTGTTTGTCCCAACTCGCCAACACAGTGATACACTGACAAACTGAATGGTTCTATAGATAGACCAGGTCTTGACTAAGCTAGCCTTTTTGACATGCTGGAAGTTTATCATGTTGGCTCCTCACGCCAAAATCACAGACTCTTAGACCATAGACCTCATCTACTACAGTACCTCATCTTTGTCCATAGTTTTGTTTGGAGAAACCGCACCTACGAAAAAACTGATACAAGTAGAGTAGTTCCAAATGCCCAAAGCAGGCACCACCCGCCTAGAACCGAACAAACAAAACCCCTGGCAGCCAATCACCTACATCGTCTGGCAGAAGTGGTTTCGAACTCTTGGATGTGCAGGCTTCACTCGTGCGAGCACCAAAAAAAAACTCGAGGCTTTGCCTGAACAAAGGGGTGCCCATCGGAAACGGACGTGCTTGTAACTGCAAGTGCTTGTAATTGCACAGACTCTATCGTTTTCCCTATATAGACTTGGTTAATAGTTAACCTTTTTCCACCTGTTGGATTTGAGCGGCAAAACCCATTCCCCCACTTGACTCGTTTTGCACCGTGATCCCTCCTTTCTGGCGAAAGAGACCAACCTCCCGGCGAAAAAGGGCCTGGAGGTCTCAGCCTTTCCATCCGGGTCCCTGCAGTGTCCCTGCGTCGTCCGAGCTCGATCCTGTCCTGCATGGTGCCACCCTCCACCGTCCGCAGCACCGCCCACAAGTAGAGCGAACCGTCGCCTGAACGACGCAGGAACTCGGCCAATGACATCGGGCTGCAAAGCTGGTGGTGGGCGGAGGCGTCGCTGAAGCAGGTGTCTTTGGACCTGACGTCCGATCGGATTGGATGAGTGGAGAAGATTGGCAGGATCAACGTTCACAATAACTGGGTCATCCTGTCTGGGTGTCCAATGGGTAACCCTACACAATATATGTCTCCGTGGAGTGTTTGAGCACTTTCAATTCTTGCACTCTCCCCTACGAAGTGGAGCCATGACGACCCAAGAATCTTCCATGTTCACTGAGATCATATGAAATAATCCTGGAATATTGGAAGTGAAAAAGAATTGAAAACAACCTGTTTGTAGAGGAAATGGTCATCCAAGAGGCCATCTTCCACTTCCATGATTTCAACCAGCACTGTCCCTAAGATTCAGCTGGGGGGAGGAGCAGGACTCCTTCACTTTTGCTGTGCCAAAGAAACGCAAAGCACTTCATCTCCATCTGAGGCGCTCGTCCGCGTAGTGGAACGTCTGCTGCTCCGGCCCCGCGCCGCGGCGCACGCCCTCCACGAGCACGTCACCCGCACGGGCGCCCAACTGCTCGAAGCTCCAAGCGGCGCCCGCGGCCGGACACAGCAGGTGCCGCGCGAGGCCGCGGAGGACGACTGGACGCCTCGGAGGTACTGGAACCTCCATGTCGGACGTTGGATGGGGTGGAGTTGGGGTGGATTTGGGGGTGGATGGATGGACGGAGGGTGACTGCAAAGTGGTGGGGATGTAAACTGTTCAAAGAAGCATCCAAAAAACACATCATTTAATGACACCATCCCCGCCCCCCTGATGAATTCGTGTTTGGCATCCAAATGGGTTTTGTGGTTGACTCTTAGTTCAAGCGTCTACCATGAAAGGAGAGCACCTCCGACAAGGAGAGCACCACAAAAGGTCGACGTGGTCGATACAGCATATTCAACGATCCAGGAGACATTCATTCTCCTTCTTGAACTGAAGGTCTCTGCGTTCGTCTAACAGTTTCATCCTACATTCGACAAATCCTGTCCGAATCCAGCTGTACTCACACTTTGTGACAGCAACACTCTTCTGTGATATGTTTGCAGTTGGCAAATGAAAGACACTCTCCACACCAAAGAATGGCATCCTCCAAAGGCATGAGTTCCAATGTGTGTGACAGTGTCCGGGATGCTCAATCTCGCCAATTTGCGGCAATTGTCAAAGGCATTGTTGCCAATTTGTGTCACAGAGTTTGGGATGGTCAAGCTTGTCAAAGAGCT